CCCCTCCCTCCCTTTTCTCCTCCCGACATTAGCAGTTGGTGAGTTCGAATGGTCAGCTACCCAAGTTTGATCTCAGGAGGCCCCTTTTACTCCCTCCATTGCTGCCAGTCCTTCAACCTGTTCACATCATTCCTTCACAAACCCCTATTGATTACACCTGCCATCTGGCTCCGCATCAGTTCTTGATTATTGCTAATTAAGCCCGTGCTTCACTCCAGAACCCTCCTCATTGCCTCCCCTTAACTGCAGTGTCACCTCCTTCTAACCAGATGACCACTTCCTTGCTCAGCTCTTCAGTGACTAATTATCTTACACGAGTCACCCCCAACTTCCTCACAAAAATCAGTACAACGTCCCACAGACTCCTGGCATCTAAAGGAACGCACATCCACACCTAGAATTCTTTGTTCATGGCTCCTGAAGAGTTCCATTCATCCTTCCAGTTAGAACTCAAACTCGATTTGTTTAGATCCCTTCCTTTAACCGGGACTGGACTAGATGCCCCTTCTCCATGCTCCTTTAACACCTATGCTACAAGATCATAGAGTAATTTTGTTTCATATCTGTCTCCCCTAACAGCATATGGTCATCTTGGAGACGGGACTGCATCTTACTCGTCTTTTCATGATCTTATTCAAAAAGAACTGGAAGCTGGGCAGTAGTGGTGCCTGCCTTTAATCCTAGCACTTGGGAGGCAGTGCTCTGAGTTTGAGGCCAGTCGGGTCTACAGAGGGAGTTCCTGGACAGCCAGGACTACTGAGGGAAACCCTATCTCAGAAATATGAAACCAAAACTAAACAAAACAAAACCCCATGCAGAAAAAGATATAAAAGAAGAACTGGAGAGATGAGGGAGCATAGGAAACGAAGGGTAGATGATGATGATGATGATGGTGATGGTGATGATGATGGTGATGATGATGATGGTGGTGGTGGTGATGATGGTGATGATGATGATGATGATGGTGATGATGATGGTGGTGATGATGATGATGGTGATGATGATGATGGTGGTAATGATGATAGTGGTGATGATAATAAAGATGATGGTGATGATGATAATGATGTTGATGAAAGAGTAGTTGGATAGATGGATAGTTAAATGGACAGATAGATGGATGGGTATGTGGCTTACTGAAATGGATCAGTTCAACAGGGGTCAAAACTTCTGATCATATGTTACATGCCCAGCTAAATGCAGCAAGTTCTTCAACAACCACACAAAACCATGACTGTGTTTCTTAAAGATTCACAGTTGATGTCAAAACTGTGACTGCAACTCAGCAACCGTGGGCTTTTGGCTTTGATCCATAGGGAAGTTTAGAGGTGCTTCTGATCATAGAAGAAAAGGGGACTTATGCATGTGCCCTATGCTAGCTTGACCTGGCAGCCTCCTGCTGCCCTCCTGTATCCTTGTTGGTCGTGTCGGGTCCATTGAGCTCCATGTTCAGACCATAATTCATTTTAACTCTAAATGTGACTAGAGATTGCCACCTCCAGTGCCAGAGTCACATCGAAGCAAGTGGCATCAAAGTGTCAAGGCCAACAGCCACCATCTGCAACTCTCTGGAGAACAGCTTGTTTCTCTCCCTTCGATACTCAAGAAGTCTGATAAGTGGCCTCCTTGCTTGAAGTTTCCCTTTCATTAGAACCAAGCTATCATTCCTACAGAGAGCTTTTAGAGGAAGACCTTTGGTCCATTGTTTTACCAAGGAAAACTGAATAAGTCATAGAGTGACCTGGAGGTATAATATTATGCTCCTGTTATGGAGAACTGGCGTGTGACCCAATCAAGTAGCAGTGGAAAGGCCTTGGGACTACTGGGATTGGAGCCCAGCCTGGCCGCCAGGAATCCTCATTCAGGGGTTGAGAAGCAGCCGGGAGAGCACAATTGGCTAAATTTGGTTGTGTTTTTATTTTTGCCCAGCCGTAAATACCGGCAGAGAAATGAAAACTATTCCTTCCCATTTGGGAGCCTCGGAGCCAAACTGGCTTTATTTTTAGCTATAGCTCTGGGCTCTGTCTAGGGCTTTTAGCACACTGTACACCCTGCTCACTGCTGTAAGAGGCAGTGGGCTGGAGTTTAGGGGTTTTGCCTAGACCTGAGTGCTGGGTGTCGATGGAATTCTTACCTGACTTCATGTGGCTGTCACAACAAGGGTGGTTCCAGACAGACCCAAAGAAAGACCCAGTTCTTGCCTGAAGGGTCACCAAGAGATTCCTTTTCAGGCAGGGCTGTGTACGCTGAGCAGATCAGTGTCTGGTGAGGGTGGAGGAAGTGGCCATGCCATCCTGGATGAAAAAAATAAAAGCAGAATGAAAAGAGAAGCAAGGGAAAGGGCCAGGACACTTTTGTTCTGTAGAGGCTTTGAGCGCTGTGGTTCAGGACCTGAAGCCAGCTGACTGTCCAGATCCTGCTACGGCACCCCTGAGAGATGCTGTGGCCTCCGCCCAGCCTGCATCACTGGCTTTGAATCCATTATGTAAGAGACGGGGACAATAACAACCTAGGCCTTAAGCTCCGCGGTGAGATTCTGCCAGGGCAGCCTGAAGCACAGCGCTTGGTATGCAGGGCAGCAGGTGGGATCAGCCATTCTCGATTGTGCCATCATGTGACATCCAGCCCTTCCACGTATAGTAGGCTAGCTCTCTCTCTGGAAGCCAGGGGAGTAGAGTTGTTTTGCAGCTGGAAAACCAAGGGTCAAAGGATTCGGTAACTTGTCCTCATATCTACAATGAGAATATAATCTATCAAACCTGAACCCAGCACTGGTCAGCCCCAGTCCTAACACCAGGCCTTCTACGGGACCCGTGACGTCTGTACCTTATGAAAGGACTTATCACTAACCACATAGGAACTACTTACTCTAAGCAGGGGGTTGGTTTTCTCGGCCTTGGGCTCCCCAGTTTCATGGCAGGAGTGTGCGAAGAAGATACCAGAAGTGATTTTTTTTTTAAAGCAGAAACCAAACTCATGGAGACAGACTGTAGAATGGTGTCTATCAGAGCCTGTTAAAAGGGAAAACTGGGGAGTTGTTTAATGGATAGACTCAGCTGTGTGTGGCGGACGCGTCCCGGAGATTAGTCGTACAACCAGAAGGATCCAGCCCACACTGCTGTGCCTCATGCCTCTGAACTGTGTGCTTAGAAACGTAGAAGACAGCTAATCTCATGTTGTGTGATTTTAGCATCATTTTTGAACAGTTAGAAATAAAGATCACAGGTATTGGAGTAAGACCACTGTAGAGGTAGGCCGCGGGTGAGAGCGTTTCTTGTCCACCTTCCCAACCTTTTTTTTCCATCTTCACACTGAGCAGAAGCCTCCTCAGCAGTATCCCTGGTCCCACCCACGTGGCACCAACTTTGTCAGCGCCCATTTGCGTGCTTTTTGAAAGACACTTATTAGGCAACACTGTAAATGCTTTTCTTCTTCGTGCTTGGTTCTTTCTGACCCCCTTCCAGTCCCTGGTTCCCCTGCAGCATTTGTCTATAGGATGGGAGAAGGGAGTAGTAGGCAAGTCTCCCTTACAGAGTCATGTTGTCTTGGAGTATGTGTAGGGGAAGGATCGGGCTTAGACTTCACTGCTGAGAAGTCGGGTGCAGATCCTGGCTTTGTCCTCCGTTTGCCTAGCTCTACCATGGGGGTAAGTTGTCCCCTGCAACTGCCTTCCACCTCTGTGAGTAGATGTAATGCAGACCAGCATGGAAATTGCTAGGGGCCGAGTCCCCTCTGGCTTGATTGCCTCAAGAAAGCAGCCCTCATCAATATCACAACAGAGGCTTAGTGACCTTTGGGAACCTCTGCAGTGGTGTTCAGGAAACACCGGACTGCTTTCTGTGTTCATCAGTTTTGAGCCACTGTGACCACAATTCCTGACTTAGATAAGGAAGGAAAGGTTTTTTTCTCTCTCTTTCTTTCAGAGAGTTTCAATTCGTCATGGCAGGAAAGGCATGAAGGAGAAGCTCACTCAGTGGTAGGAGGGAGGAATGTGTGGCTGGTGGACCAGAGAGCAGGGAGAATATTGGAACCTCCAGAGGCTCTTTCCTAAATGACCTATTTCTGCCAGCCAGACCCCAACCCTCTAAAGGTTCTACATAATCTCCAACTAACCCTGACACCTGGAAAGCCAAGCACGAGCCTGTCAGGTTCAGATCATAAAAGCTATGTTGGCCGTTGCCCAGTATAGACATCTCTACATGACTAAGTTTAACTGCAAGCCATACTTTTTGCCCAGAGTTTGGGCCCCTATTTGGGGCCAGTTTCTCGATTAGCTGCAGTGATGAAAACCCACCATGCTGTCATATCCCATAAATATATCTTAATTGCTTTTAGCTTTGAAGAAAATAAACTTTTAGGTCGAAATAAATGCCTTCTAGTAAATGTATAACATTCGTATTTTTATACTTGGACAGATATAATACGTAAAAATGTCTTATGGATAAAGCAGCCCAGAAAAGGCCAAAGGGTCAAAGACCCTTGAATGTCACGGTGCAGCCCTGCTGTGCCCCCCATGGCAGAGATTGGTTTTGGGTCCATCAACCCATACTGATCCGACTTGCCCTCTTTTCTGTTCCTATGGCAACTGCCATCTGCTCCATCCCCACTATTATTTAAGACTTGGTACATTTTCTCTGATATTTAATTCATGCTACGAAAAGCTCAAAAGTGTTGCCTGGAGTCCACAGGAAAGAAGGTTGTCACCAATGAGTGATGTCTGTCCTAGACTCGCGACTGGGGAGGGGAGGCACAGCCAGTGTGCTCGGTTTGCACCCATGGCTGGCATGGATTTCTATCTCCAGCCTGAATACAAACTCTGTTATAATGGCATGTATGCCTTATGTGTGTCGAGCATACCATGCTGAAAGATCTAGAAAGTCTCTTCCTGGGGATGGCTCGATTGATGAAAGCAATGTCTGTGTGTGTGTGTGTGTGTGGTGTGTGCTCTGTACTCTGTGCTCAACACCCCTTTGACATCTTTTCATTCATCTTTTCCTCCCCAGACGCCTGAACAAGAACAAGCTCCAGGTCCTTCCAGAATTGCTCTTCCAGAGCACACCAAAGCTCACCAGACTGTGAGTAGCGTTCATGTGTATCCTCTACCTTGCGTCTCACCTGGCTTCGGTCTCATGGACACTGTGGTTGTTGCGGTGTATGTCACCTGTGCCGTGTGGAGCTTCAGAGCGGAGTCTGCCTTCTAGCTCCTTTTGTCAGAGCCGGGTGGCTTTATTGACCAGTGGAGGCTAGCAGTGTGTGATGGTGGATTTTCTTTTTTCCTGGCACGGAGGGAGGAAGGTCTTCCATTGGGTCTGAACTTACTGCATAGAATTTCCCCGAGAGGGGTTCATCAGAAGCTGCCTGTGTGTGTTCTTAGTATCAATCTGGACTAAACTCACTGCCTTCCTGACTGCAACAGTCCCTGCCCATGGCTTACTTCTTGCCATTGACAGTTCAGGAACTCTGGGTCTTCAGGTTTATGGTTTGATGGAAAAATAAAGAAGATTTGATTTTCATATTATTTTCCAGAATCATTTGGGTGCATATATTCATTGTGACAGCCTAGAAGCTTGGGAGCTTGAGGTGCAGACTGTGGTAGAGACCGTGACTCATGACTTATGGTGTTCTTTGCAAGTGCTAGTTATTGACAGCGAACTTGAAATCCTGCTGGCTTGGATGACAGGTGAACTATGCCGCCCAAGGGTGCTCTGAATGGAACAGCACAGTGTCTGACAGGCAGAGTCACAGCCCGACTGAGAAGACACTAACATGACTGGGGCGGCTCCCATGTTATAGCCACCAGTCTCCTTCCCCATGGCTGGGTTTAATGCCTACTTATGCAATCAAACCGTGCCTGTAGACTGGAATAAGCTGGATAATAGGAAACACATGTCACTGTGTGCACTTAAGCCCTGAATTAGAAATACATACTTATGTATGTGCGTGCGTATAAACATATGCACACACACTCCCCCTATGCATATAAATACATTTGCAAAGAGCCAGAGGAATGGGCCTGGGCTGGCATTGAGAAGAACAGGGTCCTGTTGGATTTCTTCAGGACAGATCTGTACTTGTCAGCGGCCTCTTCTTTGAGTGCACCCCCTGTCTTTGGTTCTCTTGTTCACCTAGTTACTTTGCTAAAAGTAAGAAAGCAAATGACCTCCCTTTCCCTACCTCCTATCTATATCTGCCTGGATGGGCACACAGCCCAAGGAAACACATAGCCTGGCCGCCTAACCAAACTCAACAAGCAGTGGATCCACCACAAACCATCCTGATTTTTAACAAACTGTTCCCTGTACCGTCCTCACTCAGTATCCTTGGAACATTGATCCGCAGACTGACAGGTAACTAAATTCTTAGCTGCTTGTGTCTTTATGTAAAATTAGGAGATATTTGTATCTGAATATCTATGCACACCTTCCCCTATACCTTAAGTCATTTCTTAGACTTGTCATTCTTAACCAAATGGAAATACTATGTAAATAGTGGATGTTGTAACCGGAGGTTTCTCCCTGCTCCCCTGCCAGTCCCTGAATAACCACTCTGAGGCTTAATATTAATTATAAACTGTTTGGCATATTATCTCAGGTTTATTATTGACTAGCTCTTATAACTTAAATTAGCCCCCTTCTGTTATTCTGTATTTTACTACAACACTCATGGCTTGTTACTTCACATCCTGCTTCTTTGGCAGCTGCTGAAGTCTCCCTGACTCTGCCTTCTTTTTCTCTGTATCTTTGCTTGGATTTCCCTCCTATCTCTATTCTTCCTGACTGTGGACCAAATCATCTTCTTTATTAGCCAATGGTAATAAAACATATTCACAGCATACAGAAGGGCATGCCACATCAGGATGTGTTATATGTGTTAGGAATTCTGACCAAGAAGCTTTGTGCATGCTCAGTGAAGGTAGTTTTCTCTCTAGAATTTCTCATCTAGAGGAGGAACTAGCAGAGACTCACTCCGTGTGCCCTGAGTAGCCATGTGTCCCCCCAACGACTTCATTGCTGTTTATCACCTCACTCTTGCCAAATAATGCAGGCATATGCTGTTCTCCTGGGAACTCAGCATGGGTGTCTGGGTGGAAGAAGGCTCTGGCAGCTGCAGCTGCTGAGGACTCTGACAGAGTGGGATCGGGATCGGAGAACTCTATTGGTTTAAGTTCAGCTAGGTAGTTTTCCTATTCACAGATGTCTCCCTAAAGCCACCAGGTAATGCCCATTTTGTGCCAAGAGTCCTGAGCCAGGCAGAGAAGTTTCAGGTGTTACTAACCAGTGTCTGGGATGCTGACTGTAAGACCTGGAGCTGGAACTCACTGGCTTTGTCCTAATGGCCCTTTCCTAAGAGAGAGTTTGGAGAGCCCCTTTCCTGTGCCTGTTTTCATTAGTAAACAGAACTGCCTCTCCTCCCTTCTCCCAGCCGCTCAGGGGAACCGCGAACACCCAGTGGGATAATGGTGTAACCGTGTGCTTTCTAGGGTTGAGCGGACTGGGAAAGGTGAAGGACCAACTTACCTAGAGCTGCCTCTCCAGTTGTTGTCTTTACAACCTCAGCTTCGGGAGCAGGGGAGGATTAAAGTTGCAGTGGGCATTGAGATAGGTTATACCAAGCATTTGCCTCCCAACAGAGAGTTGCAGCTGTGAAGGCAGGCACAATGTTCCACTCAGTTTTTGATCATCCTCCTGGGAGTCCTTGGTCAGGCACAAAGACCGACACAGGCACTGAGACAGTGATGGGTAGGTGGGTAGGTAGACGCATGAGTGATATGGGTCCAAGGATACAAGAAGGTCTCTCTGAGAGGTTTGACTCTTTCATTTATCATTCTTTCTTTCTGTCTCTCTCTCTCTCTCTCTCTCTCTCTCTCTCTCTCTCTCTCTCTCTCAGTGTACCTTCTTTGGTTGCCTGTTACAGCCTATCCTTTTTGCTCTGAGGACTGAGCAGAAGATGTGAAGGATATTTAGCTCGCTCTTTGCCGACTCCTGACACATTCTGACTGACTGCCAAAGGCCGAGAGCTAAATATATATAAATATATATTTAAATCGAAGCAACTATATTAACCCAGGTTGGAGTGCTAATCAGCCATCGCTTTTTCTCTTTGGGCTTGATCTTTGATTTTTTTCTTAATGGCCCCATTATGTCTCTGTCTTATTTTGTCAGCCACTCCAGGGCCTTTTTGGAAGTAAGCAGGGTACAAATGAGAAAATCAATAAATGTGCAATCATGGGTGTGTATACATATGCCGTCAGCCCTGTTAGAAAAGAGCTCTGCCTCCCAGGAGACCCCGCACGTCAGTTCCCTGGGGAGGCAGGCTCGGCATGGACCAGGCAGCTAACCCATCTGTAGCAGGATGTACAAGATAGCAACACTTCTGGACTTCGCTCTTGGTATTGTCTTCATGGCCAGTGTTTATCCTGAGGATATTTTTATACATTCTTTGAGAATTTCATACATGCCTCCACTATGTTTGACCATACTCAGCAACTGTTCCTCTTAGCTCCTCCCAGATCCACCCAACTCTCCAACCTCAAGTCTTTGATTTTTTTTTTTAGTAGGTTGAACTTTCTTGTCCCTATGACTAAATACCTGACAAGATGCAACTTAAAGGAAAAGGTTTCTTTTGACTTACAATTTAAAGGGACACGCTCCATCATGATGCGGGAAGGAACAAGGGGCTGCTGGTCCCGTGGCATCCATAGTTCCAAAGTAGGCAGCAGACAGGAAAGCAGGCTGTGCTGTCAAAACCTCAGTTCCTGCCCCACCCCAGGGACTCTCTTCCTCCAGAGAAGCCCCACCTCCTAAAGGTTCCAGGGTCTTCTGAAACAGCATCACCAGTTGAGACTAAGTGTTTAAACCTCCATGCCTATGGAGGACATTTCACGTTCAAACCATAACATGTATCTTCTGGAAAGGCCGTGGTGGTATAGGAAGACAGATTTGAAGTGCAGATGACAAAGAGAAGCAATAGCTATCTATGGCCTGTGCTCTATTAACGATACTTCTAACTAATGAGGTCCGGAAGTGAGAACAGAGTCATCTGAACCCAGAGGAAATCTATCAGTCCGTGTAACTGGGAAGTCCAGTGGTAGTAAAGACCGGGTAGTAAAGACTAGCTGGAGGCAGGGCCTAGGCTGTACCATGAGGACTTCATGTTGCGTCCCTTGGAACACTGGGCGCTATGTCAAAGCAGAAAACCCACAGTTACGCCGACTTTGCAGTCCCAGGGAGCCCTGTGAAGAGTCTGGTGGGAAAGGACTGAGGGGAGTTTGGCTCTGCAGCTCGCTCTCAGGAATTGTCTAAGCTGATGATCAGTGCTCATGGGACGGTGTCCTCTGATCAAACCAAGTGTGGTCGCACGTCCAACCCATTTGTTTGGACAACAGGCTCCCCACAGAAGGTGGTGGTGTGAGGAGACGGCAGTGAGGAATGCCAGTCTTTAACAATAGGTGTCAACAAGTTTATTGCGCATCTGCCCCACACAGTGCTTTCAGTGAGTGCTTCAGATTCTTGCAGTGATGCTTTAGGACACGCTGGGTGCCAGGTGCTGTTCTGCGCACTTGGCATCTGTGAAATCATTCGGTTGTCCTGACAACTCTGCAGGGTAGGTGTGGGGATTCATACCGTGGTTAGTGCTGTTCCGTGAGAGTGAAGCAGAGGCTCAGAGGGGTTGATGAGCTTGCCCGACAAGGTTCGGGCGGAATCCAGAGCTAACTCTGGATAGCTCCAATCCAGAGGCTGCTGTTCTCCATCTCCGTGAGTGTGTGTTCCTAAGCCCACTGCTCTCCCCCATTTCATGGGAAAGTAAAGCACAGCGAGGTCAGATTACTGCTTCATAAATCCCGTAGATCTAAGGGGCAGCCCCTCCTGAGAGCTTGGCCTCGGTGCTCAGCTTCAGTCTTCACACCAGTATTGCCCACAAACCAATGTCAAATCTGCTTCTAAACCCCAGAAAGTGGAAAGTATGCTAGGTTTCCATCCCTGTGGCGACAGATTGGCATCACTAACTTAGAGAAGAAGGTCTCTTGAAGCTCAGCTTTGGAGGTTCTAATCCGGGACAGAGCGGCCTCATTGTT